TTAATTTTTTGTATTAAAAGAAGGCATTTTTGTATAAATTGATAATGACATACAAATTTTATGAATAATTTATAAAGTTCTTTGAATCAAAAACCTAATACGCTTATAAATTTTATTTTTCAAAAAAAGAAAAAAATTTTACACATCTAATAAATAATAATTTTCGTTGATTAGTAATATTTTCAAACACAGACGCATTACTATTTAAGACTTCTCAGATGAATTGATTACTAATATAATGCATATATATATATATATATATATATATATATATTTACGCGACCAACTTTAAAAAGCATATTTAACATTCTCTTTTACTATAAAAACAATTAATTTTTCGTAAGTATATATGCAATAGCATTCGTAATATAAAAAAAAGTTAATAATTATTACCGTAAAAATTACATTATTTATAAAAGTATAAGAAAAATTTATCGAAGGTATGTACTGAAAATTGTATAATGTTAATATTGATCGGCATTGTGTTTCTTTTGTTCTATTATTTCATTGTATAATTTATAAAACATATGCATATATATATATATATATATATATATATATTTGAAATTATGTAATTTATAAAGTATAGATCAAAATTTTCTATCGCAATAAGCTGTTACTTTTATTGTTTAGGTCCAACCTCATACATTAAATCAATCAGATTTCAAATTGATTTAAATGTATTGACTTAAAGATTAAATAAATCATATTTATACAGAACAGTAATATATTTCAGATAATGTAATCAATACTGTGATTAATTTTTTTTAATTTTAAGATATTCAAGTTCATTTATGCATCTCTATTTTTTACCTTTACCGTAAATGATGCACAATAAGTTTTATCTAAACATTGTATTATAAAAAGCTTATTTTTATTAGTAAGCTTTTTATAACCTTGAATATTGAAGAATATTAATGCTGTGTTTATAATTATAGCTCGGTGACGTCATGCAATTAAAAACATCGTAAGATTGTGGTCAAATTCAATAGTCAATAATGTTTTTTTTTTTTTTTTTTATTGCTATTTTTAATCCGTTTTGTATTAATACATATTTGTATGCATATTTTGTTTATTATAAAACATTTTCTTAAAAGTATAAGTAACTTGACGTATAAACTGAATCTTTTATAATTTATTGTCGAATACAGTAATGCTACAAATATATTATTTTCTATTTTATTTTATTACGATCTAAGGATATTAGAAATATTTGAAATAACTTTTTCATTTATAATATTAAAAAGAATTAATTTTAAATAACTGTTCTTTTTTTTTTTTTATTATTATTATAATATTTTTACTTATTTCAGTATTGGTACAAATAGTTGCAATTTTGTTAGTGTTTTAAGTAAAAGCTATTAACATAACTTCATTATTTCAATATTTCTCTCATTGATTTGCAATGTTATAACATTTATTCATAACTTGTTCGTGACAATTCGTAATTGTTAGTGATTTGAAGAGGACTCGTTCCAATATTACATTTCAAATGAATGTGAATTATTAAATTTCGTTTGAACAACACATTTCAAAATATCAAGCAAACAAAATATATTACCCTACAATAATTTTCAAATAGAAAAGCCCTTAATGTCACTGCATATCCTTTACTTTGTCTATATTTTAGCTATGTATAATTATAATCCAATGCGATTATAAAGCGGTGAGGCTTATCATGGACAACGATAATCGTATTGCACATGTATGTGTTGGACGATCAATTTATATTGTCACAAAGAAATCGATGCGACTGGTGGGTCCTTGACTCTTTCTTCTTTTATATTCTTTACATTCCTTCCTTTTTCTTTTTTTCTAGTGTTTTGTATGGACATGGCAGGGATTTAAATGAGAAAGATGGTTCTTTTATTTTCATTTAGAAAAATCTTTTTCTCGAACTTTATATATACAATTACTTTTACGTTCCTTATTATTCACAGTCTCATAAGGAACATGCGAGAATTTCTTTTTTATTCTTTCTATGCATATACATTTAATTGTCTTATTACTTCAATCCTCAATATATTCTTCAATTATTCAATTCATCTGTTGGTGTAATAAACTTAGAAATTTCTTGTTATGAATACAATGTAATCATTGTTATAACTGCTATGTAGAAAGAAAATATCTTTCATACATTATCATTTATTTACATATCATTTATACATTATCGTGTATTACATTAAGAATGAAAAAAATGCTTTTTTTTTATTATTTTACAAATTCGTAATAAATTCTGTTTATGTATTAACACACTCGAACATAATTTCGACAATTCCTTTAAAATTATTTTTTGGAGGAAGCAGAGAGCTCTTTCACAATCAAAGTCTTTTTCATTTTAATGATTAGATTTTTTCTTCATTCACTCTATTTGCTTACTTTAAAGAATAATTCATTTATATTCATATTGTTACAATTTAATTATAAATGAAAATAAATATAAAGCAAGAAATTATTAAAGTCATTTTAGCGTATAAAATGCTACGCAACTGTATTATATTAATTATTTGTGTTTTTACTTTAAAATATTATTACATGACATAAACGTAAATTTGATAAAATCTATTATAATCTGAATTAAATGTTCATATATAATTCTACACAACTTTCAGAATTAATTTTTATGATTTTGTTAAAATATAATAAATATTTTAATTATAATTTTCAATTAACAATAGTAATAATTTATCACCATGAAATTCCGAAAACCTAGAATAATGAAGAAAGTAGTTGAATGATCAATAATAAATTTCACAAAAAAAAAAAAAATATTCCATTCATAGAAATTACAAAGACTGAATGATAGTCTTTTTATATTTATTCGTATACAATTGTATTGATTATTCATCAGTTATATAATTAGAACATCCATTTTCTTTTTAACCCTTCAAATTGTTATTGATCATGAAAAAATATATGGCATTATGATTAGTTATCATTTTATTTCTTTTGCACAGTTTTTCAATGTAATGTTTTTCGTCTTATAACGTTATTATTTTATACTCATGTCATACTAAACGATTGATAATATTTCTTTTTAAAGTTAGTTGGCAATTCTATTGCAAATGATTTTTATTGATTTAATAGCATTCTAAAGTAGTTATTAGTTATATTATGAAAATTAATTTAACATCTATAAAATTTATAAATTACACAACCAGTACTTGAAATACCTTATTTTTAATGTTTATAATGAGAAATTATAGTTTATTTGATAAGCATTTTGTTTTTTTATAAAAAAAAGTATGACTGTATGAATATAATCATTATTTCTCTAATTATGAATGTATATCTACAAGTATATGACTATTTACTTTTTATTTACAGCTTATTTATATAAAGTAAAATAAATTTTAAATGTTAAATAAAAATAAATTCTATAACAATCCCATTTTTAAATTAAGCTAACCTTTTATACAATTTTGTTTAATTTTTTATTTCATACTTCTTTTCAATTATTAAAAAAATTAATTAATTTTTATTATAGGTAAACATTGATGTAAACATACTTTTTGCTTCCTGTTTTTATTATTCATTGAAATGTAGTTTGTAAACAGGAAAATATAATAATACATTTTACTCTTAATGAATATTAAAAAACATAAAAAAATTTTTTAGTAATAAATCACTTTAGAAATTATAATGTTTATCTGAAATTATACGAATTCATTTATTATAATATTTTTTTTAATTAAAAAAGTATTTTGTAGAATAATCAATTCGCTTTAGTACATATTGTTTCAATTATTATAACAAACTAAAAATCTTTTTTTTTAAACTGAAATAAACATGTACTTACAATTAGTAAAATACTTTAATTTATTATAATAAAAATTGGTAACATTTATTATTGATATTTTTAATATAATGAAATCGTGTACGAACAAAAGTTGATGAATATTCACCCCCATGTAAATTTTAATATTTTAAAAATATTTACTCTGAATTAGTTGTTTCATTTTTCATTTAAAATTGTTTTCTTTAATGTTTAAGATAAATATAATTAAAAAATTTAAGTTAAACTAAATTTTAATTAAAAAAAGGAGTTAGTGAAAGTTAGAATTATTGATCCTTATACTTGGAGTATTTATTTTTTATGTTTACAAAAGTTTTCGTTAAAAAATACATTATTTTTTAAAAAATTCTTGAACGTGAGATTAATCACGTGTATGACAAATTGAGTTATGCTTTTAAATAATATAATTTGAAATGTTTAAATTAAGTAAAAATTTATATTTCAAATACATTGAGATAAAAATGCCCTACAAATTAAAAAATTATTCTTGAAAATTTTCTTGGAATATTTTTCTTTGTTCATATAATATCAAACAAATTATGATTTTATTTTGCTGAGTCAATATAGAAAACTGTGGGTGTGTTTATCGACTTACGAATTAACGTTACTTTTACATTAGAATATTTTCATTCATAATCAATATTAATTTTATTTTTAATTTTTAATTCTTAAATACCATTAGAAAAAATTGTTTAACATCTTACTACTACATTCCTCCACATTCCATTATATGAATGCCCATTTCTCTGCATCTATATGAAAATCAATGCAATGTAGGTTAAGTTTTAAACTATAATACACATATTAATCCTATTTGTAATCAATGAGTCAAATAAAATGATCAGATAACGTTATTTAGGCTTAATTTGAATTAACCATTATATTCAAAGAGCCTAACGTTAAAACTCTTTAACATTTTCAATTTTACTATGCGTGCACCATCGCAATATGCATCACTACTCTAATTATGTAATAAATTTGTAGGTCAATAAGGTATTCATCCACAATAATAAATAAGATAGCTTTGCATTTGTCCCTCTCATTCGTCCCTCTATCTCCCTTCCTCTCCTTGCATTTCCATTTATCTCTTCTTCAACAAATTTTCCAAGCGATGTATTTTCATCATTGTTCCCTTTTTCCTTGTCGTTTATACGATACTTATTTACCACACGAGTTCACCGTCTCTTATTTTTGTCTATTTCAGAAATCATTGGAGGTGACGGATGTGGATCCGCCAATACAAGCTCACCAGGCAACAAGAGACGCGGCTTCAGTGGGTAAGTGATATTGGCTTTTCATACTGTAGTAGCAAGTCTGCAAGCTATTTTTAACAAAATTGTTATTGAATTTTCGCTGAAAATGAAAGGGAAAGAATGGAAGAAAAAAACTTTTAAATTGGTCTTTTCTTATTTAGAAAGTGTAAGCTTTAGTCCAGTGTAATCTTTGACTTTTTCACACATTTTTTTAGGTTTATATTTACTCGAATATATTTAAAAACTTGGCTTTTATGTTCCTATTTATGTTAATTATTGTGAGTAGTTAACGCCGTAAAAAAGTAAGCAGTTAAGGAGTATTTTAATTAGTGCTGCAGTAGATAAGTAAATTTAACCTCCTCCATCTTAAAGTTTTTATTAAAATTATATATTTTGTTATATCTTTGGAATTATCGCAATCAACACACAATTACTCAATTTTTTAATTTGTAGTTGTATACATCATTCAAAGATAATCCAAACGAAATATTAGACATTCTTATTTATATTTTTCTTATATATAAAAATATAATTTTTTAATTATTCGAATCAATTATAAAACATCTATAACGATGCAAAATTCATGTAATAATTTTAATATTAGATAGCAATAAATTTTTTATATACTTTGATTTTCCTTCCCTTCTACTTTTTGTTCTGCTTGCTCTTCATATACTTATATATAAAAAAAAAAGAATGATTAAATATTCCTATTTAATAATTTGTAAAACAACTTCTTTGAAGCGCGTAATCTAAAATAATGTTTAAAGCGATAAAAGCAGAAAAACGTACATAAATATGAAATAGCTGCTCTGACTAAAAGATAATTTTTGTAAGTTCGTTGCAATATGAAAATGAAGAAAATGTAAGCAAATTATAAAGTTGTACTTAAGTTTTTTATTTAGTATGCTAAAATATTTTACAAAGATTGGAAAATTAAAATGCCCAAGTTTGAATTACATTTGATTAAAGCTTAAAATAGATTTTTAAGTAAAATAAATTTAACTAAATTATGGACTAATATATACAAAAAATCTGTGTGTATATATGTGTATATATATATTTATATATATATATATATATATATATATATATATATATATATATATATATATATATATATATATATATATATATATATCTACATATATTTAAATTCGTTTTGATAAAGAAACGGTAGATTATTAAACATGTTTACAATTGGCATTTTCATGTTTTCAAAATCTAATTATGAGTTGTAACACAAAATTTTCAAAATATGATTCCTCATTCTTTACATATAATTTTATATGATTTAAAAATCATTACAAGTTATTTATTTTTATACAGAAAAAATAATAAGGTGAATAAAAATTGTTATCTTACCTCATTACCGTTGAATTTATAAGATTTAAATTGAGATACCAATAATGATTTCATTGTAAGTCTTACAAATGGGAAATGTTATAAAACAACACAGGACGATTGAAAAGTCGAACGAAAGACCTTCATTACATTTTCATAATTATATATAATTTCTTTAACAACATTATGTCAAGCGAAAGAAAATAAAATAGATTATAAATATTAGATGATAAAAGTTTATATAGTGAATTTGTATTTATGCGGACTTTGTAAACATAAAGTACTATGATATCACGTATTCACGTACATTAAAATTAATTAATTTCACATTTCATTATCGATTAATTTCATTAAAAAAAAAAAAATAAATAAATAAATAAATTATAGGCATTTAATGAATTCAGAAATTTACCGGTTTTATTGTTTTCATAACATAAGAATGGAATGTTTTGTTTTCCGTATAAATAAATCCAATGCCAAACAAAAAAAAAATTTTGAAATAAGAATTTGCTTTGGTATATTAACTGTGCATACAAAATTCTTGAACATTTCCGAAGTACAATAATTAATTATTTTATATTAAAACACAAAATATGAATTAACTTTAAATTTAACACAAACGATCGGCACGTGAAATTAGTAATCCTTATACACAGTGCAGGTATTTTCATTTCAATTTATGAGAAGAAATGTGGGATTAAACTAAATAACTATTACATACTTGAGTGCATTGCTCATAAATTTTATTCTCATTAGTTTCATTTAACGAGAAGGCCCAGACTCTGTTGATATACGTATATAATGGTCTGCTTGTAAACTACGAGCCACCTCAAAATCAGGAATTGCCAATAAAAGAGGTAATAATATAAGGATAATGACATTAAGACATGATCAAACAAGTGTTCCGAAAATGAAAAGGAAGTCGTTATCCAAGGAAACTCGACAAGCCGATACTTGACGCAATAAGGGCGGGACCCGGTAAATCCGATCCTTCTTACGGTCACTGGCCCACGCTGACCAGCTAAACGCTCATCATTGTCTCTCATTCCGCTTAGGTCACGTTTGATGGAAGAGGGGCGGGGCGGTGCAGGGTGGCTTGGTAGGAGGTTGGCGTCCATCTCTAGCGACGAGCATCGTCATTACGTCGGGAGACATTGTAAGGCGCGACCATTTTAGACGAGGGCCAGGGTCGGCCGGGTCGCATCACATCACATACGCATTATATGCTGACGCAGCAATGCTCTCTGCGCACTTGGCAGTCCCGTCACGCGGAAACTTGGCCGAGCTCGATTTTCCCAGCTCAGAGCCGTCGCTCATGAGCGCGAAGTCTCGGTAAAATTTATCCCCGACTCGAGAGGGTTGCGCGATGCTGCCGGGACTATCGAGTCGGAAGCGTGTGGCAGCGGCGACGACGGTTGCGTTGGACGGCGTTAAGGGTCGAGCGGGGCGGGAGGGTCCCTGAGTCGTTGAGTGCGATGCGGAGGGCAAGAGGGATTACCCGATGATCCTATAATTAGGCAGTAAACGAGTTCTGAATGTGAGATAGGTATACGAGGTCAACATTTTTCGTACTGGGAATTTATCTACGATGGCAACTTCCGCTTGCTTTCATGTACGTAAGGAGTGTTTACTTACAACTTGAAGTTCCTTAATATCGTTTTGCCGTATTTTGTATGAAAATATAAAATAAATGTTTTCTCTGCTTAAATGAATTTTTAGGGAACACGAAGAGGCAATTATCGTTCATCTTTCCGTTTTTCGAATTGAAAAGTCGTTCGGAAAAAACAAAAAAATTATTTAACTTGAGATTCTTATTATTTTAGTCTAAAGAAAATTCAAAAGAAATTCGATAGAGTGACGGTCTTGGAGGTACGAATTTTCAAAGTATTTACCATGGAAATTAACCAAGTATTCAAAATCTATTACAGGCTGTCGACAGTGTCAGTTGTGAAGCCGTAATTGCCCTTTCTACTACTACTTCCTCGCTTTTGAAATTCTCAGTAATGAAGTAGAATTTACTGTAATTTTCCGAATCTTTTCAATTTAAAATTGCATTGTAATAATGTGTATGTCCCTTCAATTCTGCAAATGGACAATCTTATGATCCCTTAGCTCAACGATGCGATTCACGTAACCAGCATAAATAACTTGGAATAATTTTTGACTGCTCTGCAATGCGACTACATTATGCATAAAATAAAAATCCTCTTTTAAATCACATTTTCTTGGATACGAAAAGAGCATTACGTTGGGCAATGCACGTAAATTCTGCGCAATAATCGTTAAATCTTAAGATAGAAATTATTAATTACTTTAAATTAGAGTTATTCTTTCGATTATCCCCAGTGTAAATATTAGGCTATTATAAACATTTTTTTTATTATTATTTTAATAAACAGTTTCCAAAGCATATAATGCAATTGAAAGTAATAAAAATATTTTATCATACTTAAAGTAGTATCCAAGTCTTATGCATTACAAAGTTGCTTCAATTTTACGTATATGAATAATGTTATTAAAAATTTAAAAACATTATTTTTGGAGCACGCGCGCGCGCTGTGTGTGTGTGTGTGTGTTTGTGTGACAAGGTTTGATAATAAATACATTAATACAATAAATTTATAATAAATATGCCAATATCTATTTGTATACGTATATTCTCTTAATACAAGATATACATAAAATCGAAGTCATTTTGAATTTCCAAAGCTGTTGATAAACACGATAATATAAAAATTTTGATAGTATAAATTAGACAACTAAATATATCTTTTGCTAACTTAATAAGATAATATTGCACCAGAGTTGAAATATTATAGGATTTTAATAGACTCGATGCATTTTATGACTTAACTGCGCGTTAAATACGGGTGTTAAATAATTTAGAACAGTTTATTATGTTTTAAGTTTTCAAACTAAGATTTATCACTTATTCACTTTCTCTCTCTCTCTCTCTCTCTTTCGCTCATTTATTCCATACTTTTGTTCTATTTCTCTTTGTCTGCGTTTTAATAACGAAAAAAAACTACAGTTAAAAGCTCATACTCTTCATCTAATAATTAGAATTTTTTGTAATCATCAAGAATTTTTAACGATGCTATTTTTCATTATTTTAATTTAAGTAATTTCAATTTTACTAGATTTTATTTCACAACGGGAAAAGAAAAGATGGTAGACAATTAATACTTCGAGCTAGTTTATTGCTTATTAATTGTTTTTATTCGTAGATCTTTGTACACTTTATGTAACATTCTAATTAAAAACCATAATTAATACTTAGTTTATTTGAATCAAATATTAATTAAAAGAACGGTAACAAATATCGATAAAAGTATAACAAATATCGATAATCTTTTTTCTCTTTTTGCCGTGAGAGCGATTCTTATCCGATAACAAACAACTAAGAGGCTGATTTATCTTTACATCGATTCAATTAAGCCTTATCCGTCGATCCAATTTTCAAATACTTTAACGAATTTGTCGCTCATCGCGTAGTAAAGTGAATGAGAATATCGAAAACATTAATTTGTCTTTTGATTTTGGAAAAAATAAAAAGAAAAAAACCCAATTGAATCGCGCTTTTTGTTTATACGAATAAATAAATAAAGTCGACTGACGTTATTTTCTATGCAAAAGCCCGCTTGCGAGGCATCAAAAACGCACACTCGATTCATCAATTCCTAAAAGAAACAATGGCTGACCCTCAAATGTATGGGCGTAGCACTTGTAAGGCTATTGGGATATTCAGACG